TGTCAACAGTGACCTACCTAATGTTGATTTGATCTGTAATGAATTTCTGGGAAGCAATCTAGCACTGAGGAACAAAGTGCCTCTATTTTTAATAACTTTCCTTCTCAGAATAGAAGTGCTTTGTTCCTTAATGTTTTATTGCTCTCCAGAAAGTAATCAAATGTCAAAACCCTCTATTTACAGTGACCTATAACCTCAAAATTGGACCAATAAGCCACATCATAATCCATGGAGAATAGCGTGACGTTGTCAAGGATTTCACTTGACTTGGATTCACAAGTAATGCTCATGGAAGTCACAAGAGCAAACCATATTTAGCATTGGCCAAATCTGTTGGGAAAGGAAAAACAAATAAACAAACAAAAAAACCTTTTGATACAGCAAACAAACAAGTAAATACCTATATACTCGAGTAGAAGCCGAGTTTTCCAGCACACTTTTAAATACAGTTTTTGTGGTAAAATTAGGTGCCTCGGCAGATATTCAGGTTGGCTTACACTCAAGTGTATACGGTACATAAATACATAAAAGTGTTAAAAAGCACAAATGTCACATTGAGCATTAAGAAGTACCTGATACCAGCCCTGGTATTTTCCATCACTTCATGTGCATTTGAAAGCATATGGGTAAGGCAGACTGAAGATGACTGGTGTATTTGAATTGTGGTGCTGTTAAAAGCTACTGACTGTATCATAGACTGTAGAAGAAATGAACACATTTGTGTTGGAAGAGGTTCAGCCAAAATGCCCCTTAGAAGCAAGGGCTGGGAGACTTCAGACATGTTATCAGGAGAGATCAGTCCCTGGAAAGAGGCCATCATGCTTGCTGAAGCAGAGTCTATAAAAAGGAGGAAGACCCTCCAGGGGATGGATTGCCCCAGGGGGTGCTCAAATGACAAGCATTGGCCCAACAGAGGGGAGAGGGAAGGGCCTTAGAAAGAGAGGCAAGGAGTAGTTCAAGTGGGGCAGTCTCAGATGAAATCCCAGAGCTGGTGGGGGCCCAATCAGTGCTGACCCAAAAGAGACACCTCACTTCCTCAGTTGCTTCGGCAGCTGACTTCATTTCTGGCAAGAATACAAAATCAAAAGATTAAGATGAAAATAACAACAACTATTTCCGGGCCTTCGATAGACATTTCTTTGCGTGTGACGAATGTCAGCAGAGATGTCTGCCTTGGGTGTGGGATCCTCCCCTGGCTTCAGGGACATGGCACCCTTTGGGTTTCCGGTATCTCTCCCTATCCCTCCCCTGGCTCCTCCTCTCTGTTCTGTGTAAATGGTGCCGGCCTGGATGCCATGCTTTGCAGCATGATACAGTTCCCTGGTGGTTCCTCCCCGCCTGCAGATTCTGTTTCCGCCTATCCTGAGATCTCTCCGCAGGCCACACCAGCAGCCTTCCCATCGAGGCACCAGTGCGCCTCTCGGATGCCACCTCAAGCTCCATCCGTCAACGAGAAACTCACATCCTCTCTTCCCACTCTCTCCCTGAAACAGCATCCCTTCCCCACGTGCTTACTGCTGTCCTCAGCCCCACTGGTTTCCTTGTTCCAACCTCGGCTTTCCATAACCAACAGATGCCTCTAATTCAGCCAGCAGCCAACAAATCCCACGGATTCTTTTAGTTCTGCTGGAACCGGACTTTGAAGAGGCCTTGAACAACCCACAGTGCTCTCAGTGGCTGAGTTTTGAGAAGCAGATGGCCAGGCCTTTCTGCTGAGGCACTGCTGGGTGAACTGTAACACCCGATCTGTTTTTCTTTTTAACAGTTTTTTTTAATCGTTTTATTAGGGGCTCATACAACTCTTATCACAATCCATACACACATCAATTGTGTAAAGCGCATTTGTACATTCATTGCCCTCATCATTCTCAAAACATTTTCTCTCCACTTAAATTCCCGGCATTAGGTCCTCATTTTTCCCCTCCCTCCCCGCTTCCCCCTCCCTCATAAGCCCTTGATAGTTTATAAATTGTTATTTTGTCATATCTTTTTAACAGTTTTATGGGCACTTAATCCACATATCGCACAATTCAATCGTTCAATCATATCAAGAAGAATTGTACAATCATGACCACAATCAATTTCAGAACAAATCACCTTTAAAATGAGTTGTGTAATCACCTTCAGTTCTAGTGCTCACTCCCCCTCCCACCTTCATTGTTTGAACGCCCAATCTTTAGTCCAGCCTCTGAGCACTTCAGTCAGTCGCACCACCGAGGGACTCCCACTCGCTGCTTTTCTCTCTCTGGTTTCTGCACCATGCTCTCCACCCTGCTGATTCTTGTTGTCAATAATACGATGGTGCTGTCCTCGGGAAGACCCGGAGCGGGTTCTGAAGGATAACATCAAGCCGGCAGGCAAAGCTGTGTAAGGACGAGTTCTATGTACTTATTTTGTGCTCATCCTCGCTGGCTAGATATGTACCTTCACTTACATAAGGGGATCAGATGTGGCTGCAGAGCAGGCCAAGTGTTGAGCTGCTAACTGTAAAGTCAGCCAACCACAACCCACCAGCGAACCAGAAAGCTAAAACTCTCTGCTCCCCTAAAGATTTGTAGTCTCAGAAGGCCAAAAGGACAGTTCTACTCAGTTGAGTGCCATCATAGTGATCTCATAGGATCACTATGAGTCAGAATTGAATTGTGGCAGTTTGGGGTTATTTACATAATCATCATATGCATTCTGTGTGTCCCAACAACACCTAAATCCAATTTGTAACATCCTTACAGAGCAGAGTAGAACTGTCCCCAGGGTTTTCAAGGCTGTAAATCTTTACGGAAACCAACAGCCTTATCTTTCTGCCTCAGAGTGGCGGCTGCTGGGTTTGAACTGCAGTCTTTCAGTTAGAAGTCAAGCACTCACCCACTGTACCGCTATGCTATACCTAGCTGGGCCAGACCAAATAATAAAAAGAAAAAACTAAACTCACTGTCATAGAGTCAATTAAATACCTTACAGAACAGAGTAGAACTGCTCTTGTGGGTTTCCAAGCCCTGGTGGTGTAGTGGGTTCTGTGCTGGATGACTAACTGCAAGGTTAGTAGTTCTAAACCACCAGCAGCTCCACAAAAGAAAGATGAGGCTTTCTGGGCCCATCAAGATTACAGCGCCCAGACAAGGGAGATGGGAATATAAATGAAGTGGAGTTTGGGTCATGTTCTTTAAAGCTCATAGCCCAGCAGTAGAAGGAATGCATGCATTTATTACAGTCGATTGAGGATCCAACCTGGGAAATGGTACAGTAGACACAAGCCAAGCCTGTGAAAAGAGTTGGGGAAGACACTGTGGGCAGAAAAGATTTCATAGACAATGACAATATTCACCAGCTCATTCAAGAATCAAGTATTGGCCCAGGATCGGGTCATTTGGCCTTTGTGTTAGAGCAAGGGGCAGTCCCTTACCGGCTGAGCTGTCAGTAGCATATGACTCAGTCTGACTCACCCTCCAGTCGCCTCCCGGCCTTTTCAAAGGCTCCAAGTCGTTGCTAATTCAAATTCTGCTTCCTTCCAAGTCCACTTAGAGACCAATTTCCCCCAAGCCTTTCCTGGCACATTGGCTTTTTAAATCTTATCTCTTTTAGTGCTCATAAACTTGCCAGGGCAGTTCTACCTTGTCCTCTAGGGCTGCTGTGAGTCAGCGTTGACTCGATGGTGGTGAGTTTGATATATATGGGATACAAATATATAATTTCTTAAGCAGAGCCTTGGCAAGACTCAGGACGGCCTCAGACCAACCAATCCCACTGTCGTGGCATGGATTCCAACTGATAGTTACCCTATATATAAAAGCCCTGGTGGGGTAGTGATGATGCCTGGGACTGTGATGCAAAAGGTCAGCAGTTGAAAACCACCAGCTGTTCCAGTGGGGAAAGGCCAGGATTTCTACTCTCATACAGTTAGTCTCACCTGAAACTCAGATGGGCAGTTCTACTCTGTCCTCTAGGGTCACTATGAGTTGGCCTCAACTAGGTGGCAGTCAGAGCAACTCTACATAGGGTTTCTAACTCCCCCAAACTCAAATTCCCTGCCACCCAGCCGACATTGACTCATAGTGTCCTCAAAAAGACAGGGTAGAACTTCCCCTGTGGATTTCTGAGACTTTACAGGAGTAGAAAGCTTCACTTTCCTTCCTCCGAGCAGGTGGTGGTTTTGAACTGCTGACCTTGCAGTTAGCAATCCAACCCGTATCCACGATGCAGTGGAAGAGGCCTTCAACTATGAACATGCATTTAATCATGATGTGACTTAATTAGGTGCAGCACAGGGCGTAGAATTCAGTATTTCAAACTCCACCCCACTCTTCCTGTAAGTTAACTAAGGCACAAAAGGAGGCTGAGGCACTTGGAGAAGCCCATCCCAAGAGGGCCCAGCAGAGTGTCTGTGACTTGCTGAGAGCCTTGGGCTCCGGGTCTGCTGGGGGACCAAGGGGTAGTTCATTATTAATGAAGCCCCAGAGCCAAGGCAGCACCGCCCTCTCTGGGGAGACAAACTCCGGAGGCATAAGATCTCTCTGAAAGTCGCTAGGAGGACACGAGAAAATGACATTCTCTGTCCTCATGAAAAAGAAGAAAAAGGCGCAGGTGTCTTTGCAAATGACCTCAGTTAGTGTGGGCTACTGTCACCAGGAGAAAATACCTACGCCGCCGAGTTAGATGGGTAAAAGGAAAAGCCCCAGGCACGCAATGCACCGAAAGCAACGAAGCGGGCAGTCACAATGCGCCCCCGCGAAGGTCCTCGGGTCAGTGGAGTCTTTAAAGAACAACAAAAGCAGGAGGGGCCCCGGTGGCTGCCCCCGTGTGCCCCCTTCGCTCACCGTCCACCACCCCGCCCCGCAGGATCCGCTCCCCTGCCCGCGCGCCCCGCCTGCAGTGGGCGGGGCCCTGGCAGCGGCGCGATGACGTCACGTGCGTCGGGACGCCCGGCGCGTCGTCCGGCGCGGACCGGGGCCGGCCGAGGCGGCTTGGCTTCGCTACGTGAGGCGCGCTGTCCGCGTTCGCTCGTCGCCCTTCTACCCGTCCGGCGTCCGCGGCCCGCTATGGTGCTGCCGGCCCGCCCTGCGAGGCCCCGCTGAGTGCTGGTGCGGCGGCGATCGCGCCTCGGGGTCACCATGCCCACCCGTGAGTGGCCGCCGAGGGTCGGGCCGGCGGGGGTCGTTGGGAGGCGGCGGCCGGCGGGGCGCGCCCTCGGAGGGTCGTACCCGGGAGGGCGGCCTGGGGAGCCGGGGCGGGCGAGGAACCGCCAGGAAGTGGCCGCCGTCTGCCCGGCTGGTTTCGTTTCGGCTTCGCTTTCTGGGGGCGGGGCGGCGTGCGCCCCGTTTCACGGAAGGGGAAACTGAGGCCCCAGCTCTGGACGCCTGGCTGTTAAAGGGGCAGAGCCGGGGGTTACGTGGCCCCGTGGGCGGGCTTTAAAAGGGCAGCTCCTGGCTCCGGGACTCGCCGCTGCTCGGCTTTCGGGGGCTTCGGGCACATGCCTGGCGGCCCCGTGGGTCCCAATGCGGCCCCCGGGCCAATGTCCGAGAGCGTCCGCTGGAGTCTCGGTGCAGCTCCAGGGAGGACGGGAGGCGGTGCCGAGTGAGCCAGTGCGTCCCCTGTGGGGGCAGTGGTGGTCTCTGTCCCTGAGTGCATCCGCAGAGGTCCCAGTGCTGTCCCTGAGGGGGTTGTGCTCAGGGATCCCAGTGCAGCCCCGGCGGGGGTGCGCCCCCCCCGCTCCCCGTGGTCCCACTGCAGCTGGAGGAGGTGGTGGTGGTGGTGGTGGCAGTGAGCGGTGTCCCAGTGTGTCCTCAGGGATCCCAGGGTGGGCCCACAGGGCGGGGTTGGGGAGGTGGGGGACCAGTGAGTCCTCAGAAGTCCCAATTCTTCCTTCCCCAGAAGCCCCAGTGCGGCCCCGGGGCTGCCTCCCCAAACTCCCCTGTAGGCTTGACCCTCTGGTTCCAGGTGGTTGAAGAATGTGCCTTTTGGGGATCTAATGAGGTACCTCTGAGTGTGACTCCAGGGCCACCTGTGTAGATTCACGTGGGCAGGTGGGTTCCTTCCCCAGACCGATGGACAGATTCTCTGGAGCTTGACCCAGGAATCTCCATATCTTAACAAGCGCTCCAAGGGTTACCGATGGACCCCAAAGTTTAGAAGGTACTGGGCCAGGGTACCCACTCTTGCTGGATCGTGGGCAAAGGCGGTGCAACAGTTCTACTAGTGACCCGTTTTCAGATGACCCAGTTAGACAGCAGTGTGACTTTGAACCAGCGTACCAAGTGGATGTGTGCAAGCTAGGGAAGCTCGGTGTGACCTGACCCGGAAGCGCCTTGGTGATCCGAGCGCCTCTTCTTGATTTGAGGTTGAGTAAGGAGTCCCTTGTGGAAGCTTTCAGCCCTTGTAAGTAGGTTCCCAGTCAGCCTGATTTGTAGTGAACTCCTTTTTCTCATTGCCCTTGCTTTTGTAGACATGCAGCCTTGTAGTGGGGGACAAGGACTTATTTGGGGATATTTAGGAGGATTGTGTAAAGCTCTGGATATCAAGATTGCTTTTAACTCCTCCTCCTTGTGTGGGCTGGGTGAACTTTGTTTTCTCCACATTGGGACTGTGTATCCTCATAGTCACCATCTAGTAAATGTGTCAACAGTTTATATTTTCATGTCATTATCGAAAGTGGAAATTCAAATGTCATCATCGTCAGGATTGCTCTAAATTCATGTTCGCATTCTTCATTGAAAAGTTGCAGTCAACAACTGTGCAAATTAATCTTCTCCTTTCTGATAAAGTAGAGCAGATGGGGAGTTGAGGTGTCAAATGAAATGTAAGGCTACCAAGGCAATATAAGCATCCTAGAAGACTTTTTTTTTAAATGAAGTATGTTCCAAGGCCCTCTAATTTTACTGAGTGAATATAGGAAGAGAGGTTTCTCTGTCAATGTGTCTTTTACTCTGCACAATAGTTGATCTGGTGCCAAATTCGGGTTTCATGCCTAGACTGGGCAGGCCAGTGCCCTGTTGAGTTTGTCTGGCTGTTACCAGCATTACTGATCTTGGTCAGGGTACGTGTTCTGTGGCTGAATAGCAGTCTGGCTTGGATGGGATGCCAGCAGTCTTCATGTTGCCTTTTCCCTCCTGTGGTGGCCGGCGTTGCCAACATGGCTGGGGCAGTGCAGTGGCGAGTCAAGGCACGCCAAATATATTTCCAGTATATCCCAAGAAGCAGAAACTACAGAATTATTACTTACTTCAGGACTGTTTTCAGAGAAAGATGGAGCTTTCTACTTCAGTAAACAGTTGCAGTCCCAGAAAGTTGAGGGGCACTTCTACCCCATCGTATAGGGCAATAGTTCTCAACCTGTGGGTCGTGACCCCTTTGGGGTTCAAATGAACCTTTCACAGGGGTCGCCTTAAGACTATATTTCTGATGGTCTTAGGAACCGAGACACCACTTCTCTATTCGTCTCCAGGCGGGTCCGCTCACCTGTAGATATGCCCACAAATGGGGTCACCACAACATAAGGAACTGTATTGAAGGGTCGCGGCATTAGGAAGGTTGAGAACCACTGCTATAGGGTCACTATGAGTCGCCATTGAGTGAGTTAAGATTATTTTAAAGAAGAAACTCCTCTTTAAGCAGAGGTTTTGCTTTGTTGGTGGTGTTTCAAGGTCAAATGAGGTACTAGTCTCATTTATAAGCTCGGCCTGTTAATCCATAAGGATTTAAGCTACGTAGAAGCAGTGCTTTTCTGCAAAATGAAAGACCTGGAAATGATCTCTAGAGTCTCTCAGTGTCTAAAATTCAGAAGGCCTGTGTTTGACTATTGTGGTTTTAAACAGTATTTGCTAATTTTCAGTTTGGCTCCTCAGTCCTTGAAACTGGGAGTGTAAGTAGAACCCAGTCAAGTCAAGCACTGCCAGCTGAGGAAGCATCCTTCTCCTGCCAGCTTCCTTGGAGTTCACGCGGACACCATGGCTCTTTCTGGGAAAGTGACTCCCTAGGAGAGTGCCTAGCAGGAAGCTGGGGCCTAGTGTGTGGCCCTGTCACTCTGTATTCGGTCTGTGGTCTGCAGCTATCAGTAGGCTCTGATTTTAAGGCTGTGGTCTGTCTGGTTTTTCAAACCTAGAATTCACCACCTTGTTCCTCAAATGGCCAATTTCATCCTCTCTTGAGGTGAGCGAAAGAAAGAAGTCTTTTGATCTTGAAGATTTTCAAGCCCTCTACCAGAATTCAAGTTGCACTGACAGTTTAAGCTCGTTGTTATGTTGAGATATTAGAAGGCTGAGACTGGAGGAGTTTCACTGATTTGACTGAAATCACGCATGGCGCAAGCGAGGACTTGAACAACAAGGTGATCAGGCCCCTGTCGTAAGCAGTAAGCAGTGAGCAAAGGAGATGTATGTTTTTCTATAGCACTAAGTTCATAATAGTTTAGCTTCTCTCCCCCTGGAGTTAAACTATGATGAATGTAAGCTTGGCCAAAACTTAATCATACTTTGAGCATACCAGAAAGGCGAGCATTTTGCCTCTCCTTACATACTGTTCTGGATGCAAACTAGCTAACTGGATAACTGGATGTTAAATAAATACAGGCTAAACTTTGCTGTAAACTGTGTTTATGCTCTTTAGTTTACAAGCAACTTGCCTCCAAGCAGATCCAGTCAAACGTACTCCCGTTTTGCTATGTGAAAAGTTATTTCACAACTGTGAGGTCTGGAAACTCTTTGAGGCACCACTACTGTGTTTGAAACAAACTTGTATGTCACAGAAGAGTTCCACTCACCATGTCATGTCAGGTTTATTTTTCCTCTGTTTGTAGATACTCAGACCACCGTTTAGATCTGGAGGGTGTTACCACTTACTTTCCAGCTTTTCTCTTGGTTTGTATTTGCGTTTACACCTATCTTTTCACATTTAGACGTTGGGATTGAGATCTTGGCAGATTTGTTATGCTGTGGCAACGTGGTCGTTCTGTGTTGATTTGCTCTCCCTGTGATCAGGAGTGGGTTATGTGGAATTTGTTTTCAGCCCCATCTTTTGAAAGCAAGACAGAATGTGAATGGGTGGTGAAGGACGGTGCTGGTTGAGATGCTTCTGGTTAGCAATACATTGTCAGACCATTTGGAACATGTGACCTGGGCACTCTGATGGATGAGCTGGAAGCAGACTATTGATGCAGGCTTGTGTTCTCTGGGACTCTCTTTCCCCCAGCCAGTGCCTGTGTAGCAGGTCGAGTGGCAGCAGTCTCCTTTTGGCTCTGTTGCTGCCCAGGTCTCACTTTCCATCGGACCCACTGAGGCCCCTGGGAACATAACCACCAGTTGCAGTCAAATGAATTCCAACCCTGAGAAACCCTTGTGGGTCAGAGTAGAACTGTGCTCCATGGGGTTTTCATTGGCTCATTTTTTCTGAAGTAGATCGCTAGCCCTTTATTCTGAGGGACCTCTGGGTGGATTTGAACCACCAGACTAACCTATTAGGTATTGAATGTATTAATTGTTGGTATCACCCAGGGCCTTGTCTTAGGGACATAGTCCTGCATTACAAATTATCCATGTGATGGGAGGTGAGGCTCCAGAAGGAGCTGAAGCAGGAATTTGAAGGGTTTGCTATGTCATACGAAGAAGCATTCAACTTAGCATTCTATGAACCTATAGATCACACTTACAGCAGCTTTCTATTTTTAGCCATATTAACAGCTTCCCATTTACCGAGTATTTTAAACAAATGATAAAGATATACTGTCGTTGTTGTATGAATTCACTGAGTATTGGTTCCATGCCAGGCAGTATGCTTTGTGCGTTGCATGCAGCATCCTATTTAAATCGCCCATTTTGAGGTAGGCGCTCTTTGACTTATTTTAGCAACTGAGAGAGAAAACTTTTGAGGAAGAAGTTAAGTAACATACCTCAAGACAGGAAGTGGTATTTTCTATTCTTTTTTTGTTTTCCCCTTGATTGTGGGATTTATTAGGGAAGTTAAGAGGTTCCAAGTAAGGATTTGAAATGATAAGGTTGCAGTTCTTTTGTAGGCAGAGTCTTTTCTCAGCCATGCCAACAGGGTCCTCAGCCCCTCAGCTTTGTGATCCTCTGGTCTCTGCCTTTACTTGAGCAAGTGTTTCATAGTTCCGTTAGGGTTAGTAAGTGACT